ACTCTGAGGTCTGTGGCCTGATCAAAACAGAAAGCTGGAGTTGCCACTAACTGCGATAAGGTTTCTGGGCAAAGGGCAAGAACTAAGTTTTGGACAATGGGGGTGTGAGATTTCTAATGGACATCCAGGGAAACACACCTGGATGTGATGAGCCTGGAATTTAAATTCACGTGTGTGAGTTTGAAAAAAGTCTTAGAAAGGAGGTGTGGACTGGAGGAGCAATCCCCACACAGATAACATTTGAAGCCATAAAACTAGGGGCGATAACAGAGGGAGTGAGCATAAATAAAAAAGACAAGTGGTCCAAGGACTCAGTCCTTACATCAGAGGTCAAGGTGACAAGGTGGAGACTAGGAGATGTGAAGGCTTGTGCAGTGAGTGTTTCGGAGAAATGAAGTAACTGTTTCCAGAAGAAAGGAGAGGTCGACTGCTAACAAGTCAAGTAAAATGAGAACTGGGAAATGAGCTGACAAGAACAATTTGCCTAGTGTGATCAGAGAATGTTTAAGAGATTATGTGAGGGAAGAAAATGGAGGCACGAAGCATGAACTACTCTTCTGAGTCACGTTGTATAGGGAAAAAATGGGGTGACTTTTTTTTTAAAGATGAGAAAAATAATAGTATATTTGTATGCTGAGGAGCAGAATCCAGTTGAGGCATGAAACTAGCTTCAGGAGACAAAAGAGAAAAACTGCCTGAGCCACATCCTTCAGCAAGTGAGTGTCCAAGTAAAGGGTTTGTCTTTGCTGGGGGCCCGGGCCATTCATCCTCAGTAAGAGAGAAGGCAGGGCATGTTGGCTTGGCGGCAGAAAGCAGGCAGACGGTGGTGTGGGAACTTATGCAGACTTCTGGTTGTTATTTTCTCTTTGAAGTAAAACGAAAGGTCATTGGCTAAGAATGAAGATGGAAGAGCAGGAGTCATTGAAGAGAAGAATGAATAGACTAGAGAAAAATACAATGCTATGATATACACCTGTACATGCAAATTACTTTCCTCTTCAAATTAGACCTCCTGGAAGGCAAACCTCTGTCATGTTAAGTTTTAGAAAAAGTCAAAATCCACTTGGAGCTAAGTATGAAGAATAAGGTATATGATTTAAACCAAACAATCCTATTTTTGCCTAAACCAGGAAAGCCCTTAAGATAACTTGGAGTGTATCCATTAAAAAGAGGTTTTTAATACCCATTTTTAGACTGCATTCTAGCCTGGACAATAGAGCAAAATTCCTGTTCTCTCTCCCTCCATCTCTTTCTCTCTTTCATTTTGTTTTTTCTTTCTCTCCCTCTCTTTTTCTTTCTTCCTTTCTTTTTTCGCTTAAAAAAAAAAGAATAGTAAAAAGTTTGAAGTATTTAAACCGTGTAAATAATCACATTTTTATAACCGTAGAATTTCAGAGCCAGGAAGGAATTTAGAGGTAAAGAAGTCTAAATGAGTCCATTGCCAAGGTCACCAAGTTGATGTGTTTAAATCAGAGTTGAAATAGAATAGTGGCAATGAGGAGAAAAGAGAAATTACTTATGGTCCCTATGACCATCCAGGCCTGGTAGTGGATTAAAAAAAAAAAAAGAGTGTATCCATTAAAAAAGATAAAAATGTCAGCTTTTCCCTCCCTTTAAATATAGCCTGGATCAAAGGTAATTGATACTCATAACCCTAAGGTATTATAACATTCAGAAGCAAAATATTAAATGTCTTCCATAGTATTTTAGTTAACTTTTAAATTTTAATTAAATTTTAATTGGTGATTTATGTGTAAGCACATAATGAGCTTTGACATAAATATGAGTTCAGAATTAGGCCTCTTTGAACTCCGCATGGAGAAGAATGCTGAGGAGGCGTGTCTGTTTAAGCTGCCACTGCCTGCCTCTCATAAATAATATCTTACATTGCCTAATAGTCAGATAAACTGCAGACTGCTTAGAGCCTAATAAATGAAAGGAAACTGTACATTCTGTTTTCCAAATTTCCCTTTAACAGCTAATTCACAATTTACTATTTTATAGCTATAAGATTTTAAAAATATAAAAATAAAATATAGCTGTAAATATAGACTATTGAGATAGCCTGTAAAAATGTAAAAATAATATAACTATAAATATACACTATCAGGAGTACCAAACCTAGTTTTAGAAGCTAGAGGCATCAAGTAAAGTGGAAATGAAAGATGTTTCAAGGAAAACTCCAGGACATCTGTGGCAGTACTAAAGAAACCCTTCTCAGGTTCCCAGCATGTCATTTTATTGATGTAACTTAACATTTTCAATAAAGTTGGTAAATTATCACTAATTTCTATCTTATAGCAACATAGTAAGAGCTCTAGAGATAATCTAAGTATAAAATGTGAATTTAAAAAAACAGAACGAATATGTAGGATTTTTATTAGTGTAAGCGTTTCCATAACCATAAAAGTTTCTATAAAACAACTAAATGTCCTGAGATCTCGGTTAAATGGTGATCCAAAGTAGAAATTGGTAAAATTAATTATAAATGAACTATTTCAGTGTATAAACCAACACGTCTTTTCTAGATTTTGGCACTGTGACCCAATTACATCATTTTCCAAGTTAGAATGACTAATAATTAATGTAAAAGCAATAATTAATACAGAGAACATTGTACTTTTCCACAAAGAAATATACTTGATCTAACATTTTTATACATCCCATTTGATATCACAAAATAAATTTTACTAAGCAATTTAAAAAAAATCTCAGAAAAATATAATGAAAAGATAGATATTTTATATAAACAATGCAAAAATGCTGTCAGGCAAGGGAATGTAAAATCATTATTTGAATATAAGAAAATGTTATGAAGCAAAGAGTTATTAAAATACGGAAGAAATATTCTAAAACAAATAAAAAACCAAGATCATGAAAGAGTGACTTTTTCTAATGTGTAACAGACACTGGAATGCCAAGGTGAAAGTGAACTGAACTATTTCCTAAAGTAGTAGAGAAGATGTAACTTTCAGAAATGCAAGCAGCACAGCAAATTAACTAATTAACTTACCACCTCCTTCAAATAAAAATCAGAACATCTTGGGAGAATTTAAACACCATTAGTAGACACATCTTAGAGCAGTTATTGAAATGTTTTCTATTTCAGTAGAAAACTATTTCAACGGTGAAAATGATGTAGGAATCAGAAGCATATTCTTCTGAGACACTAGGTAGTTGACACTTTCCTGAACTGGAAAAACATTTCATAAGAAGGCATATAGTTATTGACTGAATCGAATTTGTTCTAAAAATAATTCATGCTTGGTGAAACAGCTTACCAGCCGCCACAACTCTGGGATCCTCATGGGACTTATGTCTCACAGCTGCACTACTATCTGCACTCTCATTCCACCAAAGAACATGAACTTCAGAAATAAATCACAAATCGTTTCTGAAATATATGGCAGTAACAAATAAGAAATATTGAAAAAAACGAATCAGAAATGTTATCTTATTCTTTAAATCAAAATAGTGATATCAAAAAGGTAAAACTAAATATGTTAGTGATAAGATTTCAGAGGGGTCAGAAATTTGGGAAATAAATTTATAAGTTAATCAAACTGGAAATATAAGGCAGATGAGAGAAAGCAAAGTAACCTAGCTTAAGGCACTTTAAGACTAGACCAGAGTCTCATGACTTTGTACTGTGTTTTATTTTCTTAAAAAAGCAGATTATAAAAAAATTGTTCACTGTAGAAAATTTAGGTGATACAAAGAAAAAATAAAAATTAGCATAGTCTTAGCTACCCAGATAAACCTTTATTAATATATGGTGTGTTTTCTTTTAAAGAATAAGCAAACTGAATTAGGGTCTTACTGTATGTTATACTTACTAACAGATTTTTTTTGTAATGTTGCAATACTATGAGAATTTTCTATATGAATGGCATTAATTTTTAATGACAAAGACACCAAAAACAATCTCAACAAAAACAAAAATTGACAAATGGTATCTAATTAAATGTAAGAGCTTCTGCACAGCAAAAGAAACTAAAACAGAGTAAACAGACAACCTACAGAATGGGAGAATATTTTTGCAAGCTATGCATCTGACCAAGATCTAATATCCAGCATCTATAAGGAACTTAAACAAATTTACAAGGAAAAACAAAGAACCCCATTAAAAAGTGGCTAAAGGGCATGAACAGTCACTTTTCAAAAGAATACATATATGTGGCTAACAAACTTATGAAAAAATGCTCAATATCACTGATCATTAGAGAAATGCAAATATAAACCACAATTAGATACCATCTCACACCAGTCAGAATGGCTATTATCAAAAAGTCAAAAAAATAACAGATGCTGATGAGGTTGTAAAAAAAAGGGAACACTCCCTGTTGGTGGGAGTGTAAGTTAGTTCAACCATTGTGGAAAGCAGTATGGCGATTCCTCAAAGAGCTAAAAGCAGAACTGCCATTTGACCCAGCAATCCCATTACTGGATATATACCCAGAGGAATATAAATCATTCTGCCATAAGACACATGCACGTGAATGTTAACTGCAGCACTATTCACAATAGCAAAGACATAGAATCTTTTCATGAAAACCTACATGCCCATCAACAACAGAGTGGATGAAGAAAATGTGGTACATACTCATCAGGGAATACTCTGCAGCCATAAAAAAGAACCAGATTATATCTTTTGTGGAAATAGATGGAGCTAGAGGCTATTATCCTCAGTAATAGAGGAAAAGAAAACCAGATACCACATGTTCTCACTTACAAGTGGGAGCTAAATGATGAGAATTTATGAACACAAAGGAGGAAACAACAGACACTGAGGTCTACTTGAGAAGATGGGAGAAGGGAGAGGATTAGAAAAGATAACAATTGGGTACTGGGCTTAATACCTGAGTGATGAAATAATCTGTACGACAAACCCCCATGATGTGAATTTACCTACATAACAAACCTTCACATGTACCCTGTGAACCTAAAAGTTAAAGAAGTTAAAATAAAAAAGGTCAGCATTTGAAAAAGGCCCTGTAAAATATTAGCATTCTAAAAAAATAAGATGTAAACCAGGTTTTTCCAATCCTATAGACAACACACTCTAAAAATTTGGACATAAAAATTAAAATAGGCACCATAATGAAAAAGAGATATAAACTAATACTTCATAAAGCAAATGGACAACTGTACCTCTGCTGAGTTCTCCATATTCTGTGTGAAAAATACCAACCACTTTTGTGTAGCCTAGATTGACATGGGCATTAATTGCTCTTTTAAATGCATCACCCCACAGAGCAGGCCCACCAGGATTCATTTGAAAAACAGCTAGTTCACAGACTCCTAGAATAGGGAAAAAAGTAATTTTACAGAAGACATTCAAACAATTTTCTAACCAGGTTTTTTTTTATTCCTTTAGAAGGCTAACCAATGAATTTAGAGGATAATCCATGTGTATATGTATATATATATACATACACACATATATATGCGCAGTCATATTTGTTAATTCTCTGCATTATTTTTCTTTGCTTTTATGTTTAGGAATTCTTTGTCCCTGTTTAAGGGTCATAAAGTGACCTTAATTAATCATAAAGAAAATAAAGAAAAAGGACTGAAAGCTATATATAAACTATATATATATATATATATTTTTTTAATCTATAAAAGTTGTCAAAAAAATAGATATGGAGAATTTATAATGAAGCAGAATTTTCAAGCTGCCCAAGTCTACACTTTAAAAAAAGAAATAAGAGAAGTACTTCCTAATATCCTACATTTCCTTCTCCTTTTCAATTTTGAGAGAAAATAACTTTTTCCTTTGTATAATTTCCTCCTATAGAATTCTACTTATAGTTGACCTGAAGTCACATCTGAGCTTTTAAGGAAAAGAAAACCCTCAAGGAGATGGTTTTATTCTTCCTAAATATCCAGGTAAATGCTTAGAAAGCATTCTACCTTCTGGCCAGAAATATAAGATGGGTGGAGAGAAAAAAAAAAAAATAGAGGACGAGGTAGATTAGACAAGAAAAAGGAAAGAAATACAAAGTTACTAAAGAAAAATTTATGAACGACATAGAGGAAGGGAACTATTAATAAGACCTGACACTAAGAAGCCAACTGTTTTACTTAGTGCTGAGAGCTAAAAGAGTTTTAAGTATGTTAGGATCCAAATAAGGGATTTCAAATCTCTTATAATCTAAAAAAAAAATGCAAAGTTGAGTTTATGGGAGACATAAAATAAAATTTAAATTAGTTTATGCTTTTTGATCTGACCTCTGTTTAAAATTAGACTGAGGTAATTATTCCCTTTAGTGAGTAAGAAGTGAAATCTGAAAGAAGACAAATCTTTTCAAACTGAGAAGAGGAAGACACACGAGTTAAGTACAGTAATGTAGCTCAACAGTTTAATTCATTCCCCCCAAACAGTTTACAAGCAAAGATATACTTAATAATTTAAGATTAGCTGAATTTGTGGAAAAATACTTTTATATTTAAAAGTTTATACATTTTAAAACAGTGACAAAATTTCATAAACTACCACTCATCTACCTGCACCTGTTTTCCTAGCTCCTAAGCCCCACTTTTCCACCTGTACTGACCATGTCAGCTTTTGTTAGGCATCAATTAGATGCCAAGTTGGAAAAATACTTCATTATTTGGTGCTCAGTGTTTTAAGGATAAGCAAAGAGTGTTAGAGCTCTAATTCTTTTTTTTTTTTTTGAGAGTGAGTCTCTGTCACCCAGGCTGAAGTACAGTGTGGCATGACCTTGGCTCACTGCAACCACCTCCCAGATTCAAGCAATTCTCCTGTCTCAGACTCCTTAGTAGCTGGGACTACAGGTGTGCACCACTACACCCAGCTAAGTTTTGTATTTTTAGTAGAGATGGCATTTCACTATGTTGACCAGGCTGATCTTCAATTCCTGACCTCAGGTGATCCGCCTGCCTCACCCTCCAAAAGTGGTGGGATTACAGGCCTGAGCCACCATGCCCCGCCTCTAATTCACTTTTATCTCCAGACTCACCATATATTATTGTATAAAACAAAGGATTATGTATTTTTTTTCCTTTACAACTTTACTATTCATAGCTTTAGATCTTTAGTATTTTACTCATTAAAACTCAAAATCTAAGAGGGAAGAACTCACCTTCTTTTGGAGGCTTTTCTAATTTGGACCATGGTATCAGGTAAGTAATTTCAGACTCTTGTTTATCAACATGAGCCAAATTTGGAATGAGAGATTGTTCTTGCCATTCCTTACAGTTGGCCAAGGCTTTTCAAACTTCAGCTCAATGAGCAAAATTATCTATGGGAGGAAAATAAGTAAGAAAACATTTTGATTTAAAATTGCCCATAATTTTACTTGGATTTTACTCAGTTCAGCAAATGTTGAAGGCCATATGGGAACCCCATGTTATTATGTCACAGCAGATGCCAACATAAATATATATGACAAGTTCTCTCAAGTTACTCATGGTCCAAAAGGGGAGTTGAAATGTGAAGACCTAATTTTAATGATGCAGAATGGGCTTTATAGTCTCTAAGACTTTCATAGGAAGTTGTGTAAATTAGGTTATTCAATCTTTCTGTGCCTCAGTTTCTTATTCTATGAAGTGAAGAAAATAGTATAACACCTACCTCCAGGGTTGTGGTGAGGATTAAATAAATTAATACTTGAAAAGAGCTTAGAATGGCGTTTGGCACCTTAGTTAGTACTCAGTATATATGTTAATTATTCTTATTAATTAATGGAAGCATTTGATTTATAGAGAAAGATTATTGTTCCTTGGTGGTGGGTGATTAGGTCAATGTACACTTTGAATCAAATTTAACATAAATGAAATTAAGCTGCACTTTTAAGCCTCTTCTTTGAACAACAGCTGCCAATGAAATGGTGCTGATTCTTTTATTTCTTGTCAGTAATTCTTTTTCTATACAACATATTTCTCTTCTTTCTAAGTTACCCAAACAGGTATATACATTTACCATGATATGGCCCTAGTATAGTCAGCTCTTCCTCTCCACAGGTTCTACATCTGTGGATTCAACCAACTGCAGACTAAAAATATTTTTAAAAATACAAGTGAAAGAATATAGTATAACAACTATTTACATAGCATATACATTGTGTTAGGTATTAAAAGTAATCTAGAGATGACTTAAAGTATATGGGAGGATAGGTGTGGGTTTGATGGAAATACTGTGCTGTTTCATATAAGGGACTTGAGCTGGTTTTGGTATCTACAGGGGGTCCTGGTATCAATTTCTTGCAAATACAGAGGGACAACTGTAGTATATTTATGTTTAGGGCTTCCTAAGACTGATAGTAAATGAGTTATATGGTTTGTGCTGAGGACAAGGAATAACACCTATTTTATACCTTAAGTGTATTATAAGACTTTATGAGCAGTTTAATTGGACATGATTAAACTTGTGGCTCATCTAAAGCATATTAGTGGATTATATATGTGGTTTATCTAAATCATACAAATGAATTATAAAGACTTAATTAGCAGTTTTTTTAAATGGGACATGTTTCAACTTGTGGTTTATCTAAAGCATAAATTACGTTTTAATAGGGTCTGTTTTATTATAACAAGGAAAAACTACATATTTTTCATATTGAATTACTTTATGACTATTAACTTTGGACACTGATATAAACTTTGGTCACTAAATGAAATTATTAAAAGTTCTTTAGGTACCATCAAGTCCTGATGTGGACTGTTAAGAACAGACATGGGGGTAACAAACATTTTGGGGATTCTTGTTACTTGTTCTCCTTCCTCTACTAAACCAGGGGTAGGTCAGCTTCAATATGGGAAGAACTCTCTCATTCTTTTTTCTTACCTCCCTAGGGTAGTATGAAAGTGAATTCCTTGAAACTCTGGGGTATAGAAATGGAAAAACGTGGTCTTCCAAATATAACAGAATTATTAAATCTCAGAGTTGTGTGAGGCTTAAAAGTTAAATGTCATCCTTTAAAAATCTGTTTTTATAAAGCTCCCAAATGGGTGAATTATTTCTGCAAAAATGCTAATATCCAACCCTAGCTGTAATAATAAGAAAAAAACTTCTCTTATCCTAATGATACTCCTTTACCCAAGAACTGGAATTAGGAGTCTCATAAATTTACAAAGGATTCTCTCTTATTTAGCCAACATCCCATCTTAGTCAATATCATATATATTAGTTACACATTAAAAAATTTTTATTAAATATGTGTGTGTGTGTGTGTGTGTCTGTGTGTGTTTTGGAAGGCCCAACTGTGATCTTAACTCACTTGAACATTTACTACTTTAAATTTTTCATGAACTTTTTTTTTTTTGAGACAGAATTGCATTCTTGTTGCCCAGGCTGGAGTGCAATGGCGTGATCTCAGCTCACCACTCACCACAACTTGCACCTCCTGGGTTCAAGTAATTCTCCTGCCTCAGCCTCCGGAGTAGCTGGGATTACAAGCATGCACTGCCATGCTGGGCTAATTTTGTATTTTTAGTAGAGAAGGGGTTTCTTCATGTTGGTCAGGCTGGTCTCGAACTCGCGACCTCAGGTGATCTGCCCACCTTGGCCTCCCAAAGTGTTGGGATTGCAGGTGAAAGCCACCGTGCCCGGCCATCATGAACTATCTTTATGGCAAACCATTTTAACATTTTTCTGAGGATTAAAGTCTTGTTCACAATTTATGATTTGATACTTGAGACTCCATATTTTCTCATTTATGGTAACAGAAGAGTTCAAGCAAGGAGTGGTTAGAGGTGTACCACTGGGAAGAATACCCGCTACCTTTATTTTTTTGGGACTGCCTTTAAAAGGTACTTACTTAACCTGTATATAGATCCAAGAACTAAGCCTTATGTTACATTTAACAGAATGAAAATCTATACTGAACACTAAGTGGAGAACTCTTTACTATATTTCCAAATATGAAACACTTTATTAATTCTTCCTCCAAATTCTACACACCAGAATCCAACCAATTCAGAGTGAGCTGTCCGAACATGAATGTTTTCCTTAATATTTTCCACGAATGCATTCATTTTTGAAGGTTTAAGGTAGTAAGTGCAAAATTCATAGAATGTTCCGTTGTATTGTCTGGGACCCGTAGCAAAAGAGGAGCACACCTGAGGAAGATAAGACAAATGTAAATATCTTGGGAAAGTAGAATTACAGATTTGGTTACAACCAAATCTGAATCTGGTACCCGGGACACTTATAGACTCATTATCCATTGTTTACTCTTATTGTGAATTCTCCATATCCATATTGATGTAGAAATGTCAATAAAGATAACTACTCTTAATTCTGATGAACATATAGCGACTGTTTCCTAGCAAGGGTCTACTTCCAGCCATTTTTTCAAGGGGATTTGCTTATAAGAAGGCTGTGGGATCGTAATGACACTCCTTTAACCAGAATTACATTGAAAACTTAGTCTCATTAATTTACAAAGGGTTTGCTTCTGTTTAGCCAATATTCCATCTTACTCAATACCATATGTGTTAGTTACACATTGAAAAACATTTTATTAAGTACACATGCCTTTTGGCAGGCCCAATAATATGTTTACTAGCAAAAAAAAAAAAAAAAAAACCAAAAAAACAACCAAACCCTTTTTTAGGTTCCTAAAATAATAGGAAGGGCTATTCAGGTCAAAGTATTTCCTGAATCCCCTGACGAAGACTACTGGTCAAAAACAGGACTGGAAAGTAACTAATACAAAAGGAAGCTATGACTTCTCCAATTACACTGTAATATGGGCGTATACTGCATAAAGGCTGAAAAGGAAAAAAACTAAAATCAGAATTGTCTGCATCATTGTGTCTAATTACAGATGCAGCATCAAGAAGTATGTACGTTTAATGCATCCAAGTATACCAAGTTTAGGGAATTATCTTTTAGAACCACCACCCTTTGTAATATTCATATGCCCAATAGGTAAACTTTCTGTCCTAATTTGGCCCTCTGAGCCTGAGTGAAGTTAACGTTCAGTAGCAAATGCCCTATCAGAATTATCCACTGAGTCTGTGTGTATGTACATGAAAATATTTATGTAAAAACACACATGTATACACAGACCACTCCTGTGGCATTCCAGTTAACGAAGCACCATAAAAACCCTAGAAGGAAATCTAGGTAAAACCATCCAGGACATAGGAGTAGGCAAGGACTTCATGAACAAAACACCAAAAGCATTGGCACCAAAAGCCAAAATAGACAAATGGGACCTAATGAAACTCCATAGCTTCTGCATGGCAAAAGAAACAGTCACTAGAGTGAATCGGCAACCAACAGAATGGGAAAAAATTTTTGCAGTTTACCCATCTGACAAAGGGCTGATATCCAGAATTTACAAAGAACTCAAACAGATTTACAGGAAAAAAACAAACAAGCCCATTCAAAATTGGGCAAAGGATATGAACAGACACTTTACAAAAGAAGACATATATGAGGCCAACAATCACATGAAAAAATGCTCATCGTCACTCGTCATCAGAGAGATGCAAATCAAAACCATATTGAGATACCATCTCACGCCAGTTAGAATGGCGATCATTAAAAAAATCTGGACACAACAGATGCTGGAGAGGATGTGGAGAAAAAGGAACACTTTTACACTGTTGGTGGGAGTGTAAATTACTCCAACCATTGTGGAAGACAGTGTGGCGATTCCTCAAGGCCTTAGAAATAGAAATTCCATTTGACCCAGCAATCCCATTACTGGGTATATATCCAAAGGACTATAAATCGTTCTACTATAAGGACACATGCACACGAATGTTCATTGCAGCACTGTTTACAATAGCAAAGACCTGGAATCAACCCAAATGTCCAATGATGATAGACTGCATTGGGAAAATGTGGCACATATACACCATGGAATATTATGCAGCAATCAAAAATGATGAGTTTGTATCGTTTGTAGGGACATGGATGAAACTGGAGAACATCATTCTCAGCAAACTGACACAAGAACAGAAAATGAAACACCGCATATTCTCACTCATAGGCGGGTGATGAAAAATGAGAACACATGGACACAGAAAGGGGAGTACTAAACACTGGGGTCTATTGGGGGGAAAAGGGGAGGGCCAGTGGGAGGGGGAGGTGGGGAGGGATAGCCTGGGGAGAAAGGAAGCAAAACACACTGCCATGTGTGTACCTATGCAACTGTCTTGCATGTTCTGTACATGTACCCCAAAACCTAAAATGCAATAAAAAATTAAAAAAAAAAAAAAAAACAAATCCATTCATTTAGGTATGGTTAGCATGTGACAACTTCCTGAGGCTCACTACCCAGAATAATCTATTACAACAGTTTCAGTAGGCATCTTACACTGACATATTTTTGGTTACAGCATACAAATGCTTATGTAGTTTATTTATGAGCACGTCTTAATTATAACTGTCTATCTTGAGTTCATTCATCTCCAGTATTGAGGGAATGTGTTCTCTTTCCAGGTCTACAAAGGGGCGTAGTTTTAAGGGCAAGAACTTCCTGGCACCATGCCCCACTCCCATCTCCATCTGGGAGATTTAACGGTTTATGTTTAAATTTCGCAGGCACGGGAAGAAACTAAGAGTCTATCACCCTAGCGGAAGTTTAAAGGAACTCCTTCCATAGGCCAGAGGAACTTGTGGAGATGGGAATTTCTCCCAGGATAGATTCCCCTGCTCCTTCACCCACGCCTGATTTCCAGCTCTCTGGAATCCCCTCCCACATAGAGGGAGCTCTCTTTCCCCTACTGGATTTGCCTTCTGGGGTCCCGCTTCCACATGCTCTTAGTGGAGGTTTTCTCTCTTCTTCTCCTTTTTCTCTCTCTGCCTAAATAAATCACTTTCTACAAACACTTTTGAGTCCGGCATTTACTTTTACGAGCTCACTGTGCTGTGGCCTTCTCTCCCATTCTTGGGGAGTGATAGATCAAGAACCTGGAGAAATGTCTTTTCAGGGAAACTGAGGGCTCCCCTGAACCCCAACAGTATGAGTTATGCCCTTATTGCCCATATCTTAGTTTCCTTGGAAAACCCTTCTTCCTACCAAAAATAACTGCAGTTATCCCTCTTTTTGATGGCTATTCTTTTTGAGTCAATTTAACCAAATTCTGAAAATAAAAATCTGCTTAGTAAGTTTAAAAATATAAAATATAAGTAACTCAAAAAATGGGCCAATGAGGTACTTGTAACAACTGCTTTTAAGGTTGATTTTTGGAGATTTGTACCTGGAGACGTTAACCTAAGAAAAAATATTAGAAAAATTATCTACAAACATGTTGTGTTTACTTGGGAATGAGAAATGAGGATTATAGCTACAAAATGTATGGAATAGCAAGCCATCCATACATAGCAAGTGCATCCCATCAGGGAAGGTAAAGAGAAACTTTTATCAGTATAAAGTGGGAGATTCAAGCAGGTTCCCTGCAAACAGAGTTGACTGGTTCCAGAGACTCAAAGCCAGAGTTGTCAGTTTAGTGGTAGAGATGCTTTTACTGGGCAAGCCGTATTTCAAGAACATTTACTACAGTTCTAAAGATTGTCTAATGATAAACTTTGTCAAAGCAGGAGATGCCTGTAGGATGTGAAAGGGTTTCCTGTGGGGGTTTTAAAGTCCGTGGGCTGGGAGCTGTGCTCACACCTATAATCCCAGCACTTTGGGAGGCCGAGGGGAGCAGATCCCCTGAGGTCAGAAGTTCGAGACCATCCTGGCCAACATGGTGAAATCCTACCCCTACTAAAAATATGAAAATTAGCCAGGTATGTTGGCAGGCTCCTGTAATCCCAGCTACTCCAGAAGCTGAGGCAGGAGAATTGCTTGAACCTGGGAAGCAGAGGTTGCAGTGAGCCGAGATCGCACCACTGTACTCCAGCCTGCGCGACTGAGCAAGCCTCTGTCTCAAAATATAAAAATTAAAGTCCTTGGAAACAGCTCTTAACTCAGTTATCTAAGCAGGAGCCTCCTCTCCTCCTGCCTTCCCAGCTCTATTGTCTGGATCTGACAAAAGTGATTTCATCCGGGTATCTGCAACTTTCACAGAAAACAAACAGGTAGTCAAATGGACATATTTTTATGATCTTTCCCAGGAGAAATATACAATAGAGAAGCTCAGGAAAGGTTAACTGCAGGCAGAGAGGGATATGTGTGGAGGTGGTGAACTTTTCTTGCAGAGCAAACGATCTAATGGAGGCAGATAAGTCCTCCATGCTCCCTTATCTCCAAGTTAGGGTTCATTCCCACCAGCAACGATCTCCACTTCACTTATAAGAGAACAACTGGCAGGCATTTTCAAAAACTCAAGGAAGTTCAGAATAATGCCTCATGAGGAAATAATTCTTGGCCCTGCGCCACTAAAGAAAGAATATTTAGGGTAAAGGCTGGATTGTTAATCTGGGGTGAATGGACACGAGCTGCTCTTCTTTAGTGTTCCTCAGAAAGTCTGTCTCTAGAATAGGTTAATCCCCTTCCTATCCTGCCCATTCAGAAAAGAGTAAAGTCCTAAACATGAAAAGGAAAAGACATTTCTAGGTTGGAGCCACAGAATAGGCCACTCCCAAAAGTTAGGGCAGAATCACAAGATCCATTTTGTCCACTTCTGATCTAAGGTTAGAAGAGTCTGTCGTCGTCCTGTTTGCTAGGAGACTCCGGTCCCCGCCTGGCTAGGGGCGCGATCACCGAAGGGCGGGTGGTGGGCAGGGTCCAGCCCCACCCGAACCCTGGGCCTCCTCTTCAAGGGTCTCCGCGAAATGCTCGGCAGTTGTGTGTTTCACTTAAAAGCGGGATGCCGGTTCTGTTGTGAGCGGCTGGTTGGCCATTTCCTCCTTCAACCTGATGTCTAGAGAGGGCGGTGGCTTGGAAAGCCCCAAACCCACAGGCGGCCCGACAGTGCCAGGTGGCAACGGGGGAGCGCTTCCTGGGCCGCAGCCGCATTGTAGCTGGGCGACAAAAACGCAACAGCACCACGGGGGTGTCCCAGTGGTTGTGGCGTCCAGGCTAGAAAAGCCCTCGGACCGTGACTGCCAGCAAGACGACCCCGGCTAGCGAGTATTCTCCCAGCAGCCTCCTCCTCACGCGCCAGAGGGCTACCGAAATCGCCCTCGAACTTCGACCGCGGCGCGGGACCCCAGGTCTGGGAGCGCATGCGCGTGGCTCGCACGCTCCTGAAACCACGCCCCCATGCGCCCGCTTCTCCCCTCTCCTCCGGCCAGGGCTCCTGGGAGCTCCGGCGGCCAGAACCGGAGGCCTGAAAGTCCGAGAGGCCCCCGCCTTGGTCAGGCCGCTTCTAAGGACGAGCATGGCGCGGCTTCGGCGCTGAGAAAGGCAGCCAGCAGCGTACTTTGTGAGACTTCTCTGAAGGCTTCCCGAGTGGAAATAAGCAACTCCTGGACCACTAGCAGACGCAGGCTGGGTGGGGGCTCCGTGGGGTCAGCTCTACCCCGGCGCGGGAGGCGCGACCAGTCTTGTAGCTTGGCGTCTTTCTCTTTGGCGCTGAGCCTCGGTCCCCCTTGGTTTCCTAAAACGTTCTTGCTCCACACATTAGAGGTGACATGGATGAATCTGGAGAACATCATTCTCAGCAAACTGACGCAAGAACAGAAAATGAAATACCGCATATTCTCACTCATAGGTGGGTGATGAAAAATGAGAACACATGAACACAGGGAAGGGAGTACCAAACACTGGGGTCTATTGGGGGGAAGAGGGGAGGGACATGGGGGGGGAGCTGGGGAGGGATAGCCTGGGGAGAAATGCCAAATGTGGGTGAGGGGGAGGAAGGCAGCAAAACACACTGCCATGTGTGTAGCTATGCAAATGTCTTGCATGTTCTGCACATGTACCCCAAAACCTAAAATGCAATAAAAAAAAAAAAGAATTAGCTGAAGGCTGGGATCGTTCCTGCTCCACCTTTCTGGGCCCTGACCTCATGTGCCGTTGTGCAGATTCGTAAACGTGCGAGAAGGAAGGAGAGCTGTTGAGCCGCGTGCATGTGCAGTGCTTTGCATTTGAAGTCGAGATGTTGACAGGGTTAACTTTTATACGTTGTGATGGACGTGTATTTGTACACCAGTGAGGCTTCGCTTTTCTGCATTGTGTTCTCTGTCCCCATTGCCACCCCAGCGTAATCTTGGAAGGCTCCTAATAAAGATTTAATTTTCCATGAGCTCAGAGGAATTGCAGCACCTAGCCTGATTATGAAAAAAGTCAAAGTTAAACATAGATACTTTGAAACTAGATTGTTCAGTAAGCCTTAACAGCAAAACAGCCGACCTCTGGTCTAGTCCTCCTGGTCCCGGAGTACTGGTCCCCAGACTAACCACCTTCAACATTTAAAGCTGTTTTTTCTAATACCTGTTTCTGTGTTGTTGTTTTCTCGAGATGGAGTCTCGCTCTTTCGCCCAGGTTGGAGTGCAGTGGCGCGATCTCGGCTCACTGCAACCTCTGCCTTCCGGGTTCAAGCGATTCTTTTGCCTCAGCCTCTGGAGTAGCTGGGCTTACAGGTGCTCGCCACCAAGCTTGGCCAGTTTTTATATATGTAGTGAGATGGGATTTCACCATGTTGGTCAGGCTGGTCTCAAACTCCTGACCTCGACTGATCCACCTGCCTCGGGCTTCCAAAGTGCTGGGATTACAAGTGTGAGCCACCGTGGCCAGCCTGTATTTTAAAATAATAGGCATTTTCTGCTATTTCTTGAATTTTCAGTTATGGATAGTATGTGTTGACTTTCTTCTGTGGCAGATGAGGATTTTTGCCTCATAGAAACCGCTGCCCCTAAAGTGAATTTGGACCACTGACAGACGCAGGCTGGGGCGGGGCTTGGCGGGGTTAACTTGGGAGCAGTGGCTTCTATGAGATATGAATCCTCTTCTAATAATACTTGAATTAGGTAATTTGCAGTAATTGATTATATTAATTTCACAGCAATCTCCATTATGTTAATGTTTGCATTATTTTTTCTAATAATTCCATTATTTCACACATTAATGTAACGTAATGCCTCCATCATGAGGACTAGGGAATTGTTAGAGGTCTATTACCTGTGGTTATACTGGTTGTGCTTTGTGGAAGGACTTTGGAATAATCAGTTCGAAGGAAGGAAGGGTTTTTAAAATTAGTAATTCCAGAGGAGATGCCTT